CGCTATGTTCACTGGAGCGTTATTTACAATGGCCCAGCCGTGGGAGCCCCCAAGTGCCCATCGGTAGGCGCGTGGATTTACACAGCGGAATATCACTCGGCCGTAAAGAAGAACGCAGTCTTACCATTTGCGCCGGCGTGGGTGGACCTAGGTGGTGGTGTGCTCAGTAACATAAGTCAGACAGGGAAAGACAGATACCATGTGATTTCACTTAGGTGTGGAATCTAAAGAACAAAATAAATGAACAGACAAAATTGGAAGAAAAAAAAAAGAATCACGCGTCCATTTAGTTGTCACGTCCCGTTCGGCTCCTTCCGTTCGGAACAGTTCTTCAGTCGCTCCTTTTCCCACGACCTTGACACGTGTAAGGATTATAAACGACTTGCTCTGAGGACCACTTAACCGGCGTGGTTCGAGTTACGTGGCTTTGACGGAAGAGATTCTTTGTGCTTCCCTGTTACCCTTTTAGATGACGCTCGGTTTCAGCGGGTCTTTTCCTGGTGAGATTATCTGCCCCGTACTCTCCAGTTAATTTTTCTCTTTGCATTTCGTACGTACTTGGGGGGACGTCCTTTCACAACAAACCTCCAACTTGTTTTTTATTTTATTTGCCTTTCCCCCTGCCCTCAGGTTGTCATCGCAACCCCCGGCCGACTGCTGGACATCCTGAGGCAGAGCTCCGTGCGGCTGTGCGCCGTGAAGGTCGTGGTCGTGGATGAGGTGAGCGTGGTGGTTGGAAACGTTCGTCAAGCGGCGGTGCCCAGCCCGTGGGGTCTCGTCTCGGTCGCAGTGCTGCTGAGACCCGTCCGGCAGCTTAGCTAAGCTGTGGGCAGGACGCCGAACCGTAGATGTGTGTTCCTGTCGGGCAGAAAACACAAGCTCAGCCGCCCTGTGTTCTCAGCGATAAGTTTTGTTGTTGACCTGAGGATATTTTTTCCATTGCTTTTTAGAGAGAGTGGAAGGGAGGGAAGGAAGGGGGAGGAGAGACAGAGACAGAGACAGAGACAGGGACATCGATTGGTTGCCTTCCAACCAGGGCCGGGGATGGAACCTGCAACCCAGATACATGCCCTTGACCAGGCAGGCGACGCTCTGTGTCTGCTGAGCCACACCGGCCGGGCGAGCCTTTGTCTTTTGACATCGTGGCAGGCGTCTCTGTGTACGAGTTTTACGTTTTTGTTACCGCAGTCTTGTCTTGGGTGGCCCTGGGTTTTCATGTCAAATGGGACTAACTCTGAAGTGACTTTATTTCAGGCCGACACCATGCTAAAGATGGGCTTTCAGCAGCAAGTGCTGGACGTCTTGGAAAACGTCCCTCACGACTGTCAGACCATCCTGGTCTCGGCCACAATTCCAACCAGCATCGAGCAGCTGGCGAGCCAGCTCCTGCACGACCCCGTGAGAATCATCGCCGGAGAAAAGAACCTGCCTTGTTCCAACGTGCGGCAGATCATTCTGTGGGTCGAAGAGCCGGCCAAGAAGAAAAAGTTATTTGAAATCTTAAATGTGAGTAACGACGTTGTCGAGCCTGGTCTGTGGACTGTGTTTGCGCATCTCACAGTTCTTAAGAAAATGAGTGTTGGGCGAAGCTTTGGGGTAATTTGGTTTAGGTATTTAATAATAAATTGCTCTGCCTGCCTCAGAATTCGGTAAGAGTCCATTAGGTTTTTATTGTGAAAACGTGTGTTGTAGATTCAGCGTTGGCTCATGTTTTTCTTGTTACAGAAAAGACATTTAAATACCAAGATTATGCCTAAAGAATTTTTATTTCAAAAATTTTTTAGTAGTTTCATATATAAGGTAAGGATAAGTTCTTTCTTGGCTCGTTTGTTTAGAGAAATAGAATTTTTAACCATGACTAACTTAAACAGCAGTCGGTTCAGTGAGTGCTGTGTGCCAAGCAGAGTTCGTTAAAAACACAGTGTTTAGATACTATGGTTTGTATTGATTGACTTATGAATGGTATTTAAAATGTTTAATGGCACTTACATTTTTAACATTGTTTTTGCAGTAGAAGGACAATAGACTGTTTGGTTTCTGTTTGCGCGTATTTTAAAGAGAACATTCCCTCTGACGGAACGTGCCTTTTTCCTCAACGATGTTGATGAACCTGTTGATGACCAGCTGATACAAATGCTCTCAGGAGAACTTCCCGTGGTGACGGATGCCTCTGAGTAATTTCACACACGTTTTTGACTTCCCAGGATAAGAAACTCTTCAAGCCGCCGGTGCTGGTGTTCGTGGACTGCAGGCTCGGGGCGGACCTGCTGAGCGAGGCGGTGCAGAAGGTCACGGGCCTGCGAAGCGTGTCCATGCACTCGGAGAAGCCCCAGACGGAGAGGCGGAGCATCCTGGAGGTTGGACTCGCAGCGCTTTGTTTTCATCTCTTTCCCGCACATCTGTGTGGCGTCATTTTCAGGAGACACAGTATATTACCAGCTGGTGTTTAAAGTAGACCTTTTAAAATCCTCACCCAAGGATGTTGTGTTGATTTTAGGGAGAGAGGGAGGGAGAGAGACAGACAGACAGGCATTGAGATGAGAGAGAAATATCAATCGGTTGCCTCCTGTAAGCGCCCAGACTTGGAATCGAACCCACAACCTTTTTGGTGTACGAGATGCTCCAACCAACGGAGCCACACTGGCCGGGGCTAAAAATAGACCTGTTTTCCATCGACTAAGAGTTCGAGGCAGGCCGTGATCGAAGTTGACTGTTCCTCTCGCCGGCTTCTATGTTTGGGGGACAGCCAGCCTGACCCCCAGGGGTTGTCTGCTAACGAAATGACTAATTCAGAAGCCACCGTTTCAGACACCAGGTCAGCGCGGGCTGGGACGGAGCGTAGGTCCCCTCTGGGAAAGGTTTGCCCGAGCGAAGGAATGGAAAACATGGCCCAGGGGCCGGGGAGGAGCTTAGGCCACACTCATTTCCGAGGTGCACTGAGACTTTCCTTCCAGAAGAGATGCTGCAACAGTGTTGCAGAAAGTATCAGAAAAAGGAAAGATACCTTGTTATATAAAACCCCAGGAGAGACACACTCTGAACAATGAATTTTGTTGCTTTTCTGGAAAGGGCTTACTTGACGGGGCCCACGAGGTGGTGGTGAGCACGGGCGTCCTGGGACGAGGGCTGGACTTGATCAGGGTCAAGCTGGTGGTCAATTTCGACATGCCTTCCAGTATGGACGAGTACGTGCACCAGGTAAGGGGTTTTCTGCATTATCACCGTGACGCTTCTTGGGCAAGCCATTGTCAATACAGGGCTGAGTAAAAAGAAAAAAAATTCTGTGGTAGACGTAGAACTTGATTTTTTTTTTTTTTTTGCTTTTAAGATATATATATTATATAAACTAAAATTTGTTTTTAAGAACTCTGTGCCTTATTAAAATAATTATTTCTAATTTTAATAATTAGAAATAATAACCTAAAGTGTTGGCTAACATATTAAGTAATTGGTTTTTTTGTTTCTTTTTGTTTCCTTTATGTTTCTTGTTTTCTTCAGGGAGCCTGTTAAATGGCTTTTATAACCAGAAAAAAAAAGGGGGGGTTTTGTTTTAAGTTGAGACATCTGGCCGAAATAAAATTAACCGGTAAAAGTGGCTTTTTTTTTTAGGAATCTTGTTCTCATCGCCTCTTCATATCCGTGTCTGGTCTAGTCTTTCCCTTTTAAAATGTGTTTCTCCCCTTTGCTGCCAACGATGCCAACCAGGAGCTCTTCTTTCGAGCAGAAACAGAGCCTCCTCTTAGTGCCCTGTTATCTCCCTGACACTGCCTGTCTTCCTTCCCCGGAGTCACTTACAGGCTCTTCAAGGAAAGCCTTTCTCTGATGTTCTTAGAGTCCCCTCTGGTGCCACCTTTACCTGGGTCGCCCACGAGACGCTCTCAGTGCCTGTAACACTGTCGCTTTGACTTAATGACACAGCAGGGCCCCTCCCTCTGCCCTGCCTCAGTTACCTGCGCATCAGATAGTTGATGACAGGGGAGGTCATTTTCAAATAACTGAAGCTCGTTTTCTTCCAAACTTGTAGTCGTTTTGAATGGAAGTCTTTTTTAATTTTTTTTTTAAAGGCTTTTTCTTAATATATCTTTATTGATTTCAGAGAGAGGAAGAGAGAGAGATAGAAACATCAATGACGAGAGAGTCATTGATCGGCTGCCTCCTGCATGCTCCCGACTGGGGATCGAGCCCACAGCCCGGGCATGTGCCCTGACTGGGGCTCGAACCCCGATCGCCTGGATCCTAGGCCGATGCTCAACCGCTGAGCCACGCCCGGCCGGGCCGAATGGAAGTCTTTCTTAAAACACTAAAATGCTTACGAAGCTGCTGGGTTTCCCGAGCAGAGTGTGCTGATAGAATCCCCTGACCTCTCCTCGCTGTCCCACGGTCAGTCCCGGGGGTCTCAGGTAGCACGGAGTCACCCTGCAGGGCCCTCGGGCTTATGAATTCAGAAAACTGCCATCCGAGTGCACGTTAGTCTCAGCAAAGCGTCTTCAGAGACTCATCTTCTGTCAAGGGGACGTTAAGACTGGATGCGAACATTGTGCAAATCCCCTTTGCGTCTCACTTCAGGTCGGAAGAGTGGGGAGGTTAGGCCAGAACGGGACGGCCATCACCTTCATCAATAACAACTCCAGGAGACTCTTCTGGGACGTGGCCAAGAGAGTGAAGCCCACGGGGTCCATCCTGCCACCACAGCTGCTCCACTCCCCATACCTGCAGGACCAGCAGAGGAAGGAGCAGCAGAGGGACCGGCAGGCCCAGAACCCCCTGGTCACCGGCGCCAACCTCATGGACATCATTAGGAGGCACGACAGGAGTAACGCTCAGAGGTGACCTGAGCGCCTCTTCCAATACTTCTCTTTTTTTAATTTATTTTAATTTTTTTAGGGGGAAAAGGGACATCTGTAATACTTTTAACAATAAAATTTAAACATTTTTAATAGAATATCAAGTTTATGCAGCAATATCCTACTTAATTTCCTTTTGAATTCTCAAAAATTAAAAACGACAGAAGAAAATGAATTGCGAAATAGAGGAAGTTATTTTATTCCTCGGAGCCACTGTCAGACCAGACGCCTGCACCGCGGGGGGAGCCGTGAGGACCGAGGCTCCTTCGCTCAGTGTCCCCACCGTCCTGGGGCAACTTCTACAAGACGACTGTGAAGGATCTTTTTATTCTCAGTTCTCCCGTTGGCCTGGTGAACATAAATCTGTTTTATATGTAAGGTGGGCTGCTTGTCGCAGTAACGGTCGTTATGCACATGTAGCTTCGGGATCCTTTTTGTGTTAATGTCACTTTGCTGATTCCATTGACAGTATTGATACTGGAGGGAAGGAAGGAGTTGTGCTTTGATACGTCCATCCTTCCACTGCTTTAAAAACCATTCGTAATTTTATATATTTTTAAATTTTAAATTATAAAATTTAAATTATAAATTAAATTTTTAATTTTATAATTTTGAGGAAAATTATTACCCAGTTTGAAATTTTGATTGGCTGATGTACGTAGTTAGAGACACTCCCAGACATTGTTTCCCTCTTCCAGCAACTGGACTGTTTGACAGGAACTGAATTAACTCTTCAAGCGCTTTATTGCCAGATTGTAGCAAACGCTGTTTATGTACCAAACACTTTCATGCCTGAAATAAGCGGGTCCTAGACTCTGCAGCTTTATGAGACACATTTCATGCTATTCTGTATTTCTAATACCGAGCTCAGTAAAAGGTTTTTTTTTTTTTTTTTTTTGGTTGGTTTTTT